TTGCACAACGGAAACCACTCTTAAAAGGATTACCTTCCCATGAGGCTCGCTTTCTCCCTAAATCCCTTTGAAACAAAGAGTTCCTGAGGAGGAGATGGGGAACCTTACGTTCCCCGTTGGTTAATTTTAGAGAGCGAAAAATAAGTGGATATTTTGGTTTGTATAATGGGGCTCACGGCGGTGTGCGATTAATACAGTAATGATCACATGAATCTCGGCTAATTGTATAAAACATCATAAACATTCTTTTGATCACATCTAAGAATGAAGCATACCCCCAAATGGCCGCAAAGCGTCCGATATACTTTGCATTCATTCTCATCTGGAATCATTAATATACGTACTCAGTTTGGAATGTCACTCTTTTCAAATCGAAACTTACTATGCTCCCATTGTTTCGAGTTTACATAGGATTTCCTATGTGCAGCTACTTAGTGGCATCGTCTGTGACAGACTGGTCCAGAACCGAATGAAATCCTTTGGAATTTGGGCCAGACGGAGTTCCTTGTACAACTAAACGGTATGGAGGCGTACGAGTCCCATTCAACACAGGTAAATTTAAAAGAGTCGAAAAATAGGACAGCAATGGCATCCACCAAAGGGACTGACCTAAATATGTTTTTCTTGCTCTTCCTTAGAAAAAAAGAGGATCCTGTTGTCCAAAAAATCGAAAGTGTTATCCTGGAAGCTTCCAGAGGATTTTGTTTTATTTCTGGGTTGTGCATGATGTGTATTTGTGATCTGATGTGTCAAATAAAGTGTCAGTGAATATTCACAAGAATCAACTGTGTCCTCGCTGTCCCACTCTCGTCCAAGTGATGTGCCTAATCTCCAAACGCCTTATCATCTTCGGATAACCGTTTGCTAACCAAGATGGTGGATTCATACCAAATTATGCGTGCCCATAATATGGGCCTTTGAAGCTCCAACGTCTCACAGTACTACTTCTTCATTTATTTTATTCGTTAGGTTGATTGTTTTTTTATCCGAATGTTCTGTAGATGTAATCAGACAAAAGAGCCGTTGAAAAGACGCGGTCGAACGCATCTAATTACGGATGGATTACTGAAATTGAACCAAGATTCATTACCTGAATGCGACAGCACACAATTGACCGGTGATTAGACCAAGTAACAGGTGCGCCACATAATGACGTATTTTATGCACGCACCCTTAGCAAAATTCCAAAATAGTAGGGCCGTTGCTGAGAAAAATTGGTCTGAGGCGGGTGTCATAAGGGCAAATAACCATTGTACGTATCGTTCCACTTATTTTTCAACCCACTCAACAGAAAGCAAGTAGCAGCCATAGAAGAGCTGCGGAAAACAATGACAGCACAGGAGGAAGAGATCTCTCGCTTGACCGAGCTACTGGAATGCGAAAAGAGTAAACAGTCCAAAACTTTGTCTAAAGGCCAGTCACTGAAGAAAACAACGGAAGACCTAGCTGCACTTGGAAGCGAATGCCGTGGGGAACGTCATCGAGAAACCATTGAAAAGCAACGAGACGCCTTGTGTCAACTGCGGCAACAACTTCAGGAACAATCTTATCTTGGTATGCTACTTTAGACTTCATAGTAGAATGAAGCCTGATTATTGCTTTCGTGACTAGCACTTGCAGAACCAATGTAACCTTTGGTAGACTACCTAACCCAGATAATTATCATCAGGACTGCATTTTTACTGTAACAACTCATGGGAGATTTGGAGGCTATCACTACGTAGTATACTGCAAAATATTTGTACCATTGTTGCCTTGTCGTTTCCTTGCAGATGCCGTTGGGCGACAGCTTATCCGAATAATAGGTTGCAGTGTTGTGCTCAACCGTTATAAAATACTAATTAATTATATTTTTCAGCTGTGGTACAGCTTCAGACTGGGAGATATACTTTCAGGTCGTCTAAGCCCCGGGCAAGGAGAACAGAAAATCCATAGGTAGGTTCGAAGCGTGATGCTTCCTGTCAGTTGGCTGCGCCCTTTTCAATGAACTGCCTAAAGCTCTCACTCAGTATGAATAAACTCACGACAGGGAAGGAAGACGCGTCCTGTCCGGAATATTCCAAAAATTTCCAAGGCAAAGGGCTGTGTAACACTAATATGTACATAAGAATTTCATTGGACAAAAATAGTCTCACTGCAATGAGTATTTATTTCATTTCTGGGTTTCATAACGTCTAAGGAACAAAACAAATGATATAATCAGATGCGAAACACACCTCTCGTTAGCTTCTTTATCGATGGACTGTACATAAGAATTCACCTTGAATGAGGTCACCGATGTTATCCGAGAATAGGAAAGAGTAACCATCTCTCGAAAAAGGCGTAACTAGTTCTGCTGTATTGTCACTAATAAGTCGGATGTTGTAATTTGTGGTCACTCATAATGTGAAAACCACCTCTGTTGAGATAGGAGTGGTTTTGGTTTATTTTCGATTGAATAAATTATCGGTTGTTGATCAGGTGACTTTGATCTGTTTCGCCGAGCTTGGCAATTGGCTTGCAAACGTTTCGTCACCATACGGGGAGACATCATCAGTGCGCACCCAACTGCGCACAGATCAACAGCCACCTGATCAACAACCAATAAATTCACCCGAGCTACCAGTATTTCACCACATGAATAAATTATCATTTGACCACCCAGTAATACAATATGGACAGACATGAATGAGTGGCAAGTCAAGTACCTGCAATTGATATGTTGTGACTGAACGCCAATTTCCAAAAACCAGCACTTGTTCGTTGCACAAACTACACTTTTCGAAATTTCCTGATCATCGGCTAATTGATATAGTCTTGTGGTAGTAGAGCACCGGTGTTGTCCAGTAATGCTAGTGTCAATAACGTTTATGGGGACAAACCCTTAGAAAACAATTCAGTGATGGGGCACAGAACAAATCTGTCTTTGAATGGAGGCGATAGCAATCTTTTCCTTACTGTCAGGTTATATTCAAGAAGTTTCAGTTCGCCTGAGATGAGTTCGACCCTTTATTTTTGCTGACGTTGCTTAAAATGTCACAATCAACATATCATGCTAGTGAAAAGCTGCTGTCCCTGAGGGCGACTAGTGTGATTATGATGAATTTTTCCCTATTCAGAAGGTTGGGTTACTCCAAACACAGTCGCGATAGATGCTGATTTCAGAGCACATCCATGAATACTGCTTGTAAACGGCATGTGAAGCAAATGATTCATTTGATTAGAATGATATACGTGGTTGCCTTAGATTCCCTGATTAGTTGCAGTGGCTCCTCTCGGATAAGCTCTCAGGACGACAGGGAATCTCGCCCCATCTGACAAATGGGGACAAACTTACGGCAAAAATAAACACACAATGATCTTAGTTGCCTAAGTAATGTTGCATCTTTACAGGTAACCGTCTCAGTTTGGTGCCGCCGCACATCGTTGCGTTTTTGGTTGTTTTCCCTGCTGCTGGACCTCGTGTATACAGGACACAACACAGCAAGTTGGGTATCGTTAAGTAGAAAGAGAAATTAGGGATCTCGGAAACCTCCGACTTCTCAAGAGCCCAACACCACTTGTCCTCATTTGCCAGTTTTGTATAAGCACTCCTAAAAATGAGTGCATCAACAAACAGTATCTGGCATTCACTCTTTAGGTCGCTGTGGTGACCAGTCCGAACAACCCCGCGAACTGGCAAGTCTTCGTCGGGAAATCGCTGAACTTCGCAGTCAACAGATCATGTCCGAAGTTCTTCCATCCCTCCCCGGACCACAAGGTCAACGTATGCTGGCATTAGACAAAGGTTGGAGTGCATCAGATGAAGGTTATTCAACTTGCAGATGTGAAAGGACGAAGGTTGATACCGCGACTGACGTACTTCATGTGAGTAGCAAGTTAAGTTTCGCTACCATGTTTGTTTCTTATTCTGGAATTCCCCGCAAAATATAACTGTCGTTTACTTGTAAAAAACTGACTTAAATTAGTCATCCGCCCTGACAAGAAACAGATACTCGATTAAATGACGAGTAACACAGAAACCGCGTTATAATGAGGATCATGGATGCACGGATTGAAACATTTGTGCTGTTACCTGAAGATTACTAGCTTGAACCGCCTAACAGAACGATTTTGTCAGACAGCACCATCAAACCTTGCCAAGCGACGGCTCCCGTACTGTGAATTTCATCAAAATTTGTGCACTGTATACTGTGCTTCGTACCACAGCACAACCACAGCGGTCTACAGGGGCATAGGACGCAAGGTTGGTAACTATTCTTCTCCCTACACAACTTAATTCTGGCGGATCCTCGGGGCTTCGAAATTCTATTCCCTCATTTTCCCATTGCAGGTTTCTGAAGAAGGTTATCTCGATTTGGTGAAGTCCATTGCTGAGCAACTGCAACTCGGTACACTTCCTGGTCAGCGGTCACTCACGTATGCCTCTGCATTGGATCGCGATACACTTAAGCGGGAGCGCAGGCAGGTCACTGATCTTTTGAGGCAACGCATCGCGGCGCTACAAGAACAAGTACACCGGAAAGAGCAGTTACTGGCTAATTATGAGCGCGATATGTGCCGGCTCACGTAAGCCAGCTTTCAGATAACTGCACGCATAACAAAGTTACATAAGTACTTCGCCTCTAAGACTCGGCAGAAAGCTTCGCAAACAGAAAACTATCATACAAGTAATCAAGTATATTAAATCAATTTAAATCACACCATGCTAAATGTTTGCCTCGGATTGAGAGGAACAAAGGTGAAGAAGTACGGTTAGGAACATCAATGTATGAACCAAACTATCAAACGTAAGAAAACACGGCTTAATCATTAAGGTCATGTCTGCTCCACTAAGCCGAAACATGTTATTCACGTGGAAGCGAAAACATGAGCTGTTACGGACAGGGTAACTTTCCCATTAGAAATACTCGTATGCTTTTGATACCGAAGCCTTCCCATTTTCATTATCATTGATCTGATTTGTCATTAACCAGAGACAGGTTTACCAATAATGTGTCGGCTAATGCCGCTAATGTATTGGATCCCGATGGAGCAATCAACAATGAAGGTTGTTGGACAGGCAACCGATCAAGGTAATTATCATACACGAAGTTCACGAGGCGGTTTAGCCTTGAACTATACGATAACACCGCCACCAATACCATGGTACATAAGTCAACATATTGATCCGGTGACTCCGTGAAGAAGTATGAAGTCGAACGCGATAAACTGCGACCTCAATTTTGGTGAGCCATCATCATTATCAACTGTAAGAACCATATACTTGTTGTACAATGGTTATAGCTGCCGCAGTTTCGTTCGCGGATGATGTGAAGAGGTGGGATGGGTAGCCGCGCATTGGAGGCGGGAGCTGATGTAATTGATGCGGCGAAATATGAAAGTCATCACTAGCTAACTCAGCTGCGCTGATCATTACCGTCTCCCTGGATTGCGGCCCCAGACAGGACATTTCAATGGTTAGAGGCATTGTCAGACATGGTCCAGTTGCGCCCTCGATGGCGCTAGTGCTTCCAGGCCATTGCCTCCAATGCAAGGCTCCCTTACGAATCTCCCCACTTAAAAGTTCACTGACAACCCTGCATTTTGGTGATTGGGTTACAGCCGACTAATGGCTCCCAAATTTTGTTGGTATGATGCATTTTCGGCACGTTCAGTAACCCAGACATACCTTCACATGTTGCTCGGTTAGGAGCGACAAAGCTAAAGTAAATCGTTGGTCGAGTCAGAAGTTCAAATGACGGTAAGTAAACTAAAGGCTTTCCGTAAACTCAGTTCTTTATGTGGATGATAAAAGCCTTTTCCCGTCGGGGACAAAGTTATCCTTTGGATAATTGTGTCCTTCGATTTTCCTTCTCCCTCGACCACTTCTTTAACCAATCAGACAAGCCGAAACTTTGGTGGCACTGAAGGGGGAACAGATTGAAAACATGTTCTCCAACCTGCGATCCAAGGAAAGTGAAATTTCACTCCTGCGCCACGCACTGAATCAGACCCGCGAACAGCTGATGGAAGAAAAAAGACTGTCTGCGGCAAAGAAGGGACGGGTAAGTCACTTCATTATCTTTGGAGATTTTTATGAGGTCGCGATACTCAACGTTTACCACAGAATTTCTATACTGGATGACATAGAAGCGAACGAAGAGAGAAACGTCAGCTGTCTCTAGCATTAACTCTTTACCAGGGGACATGAAACAGTGGCCAATGAACATGTTCCATATTCATTACACGGGCCGTTTCACAGTGGAATGCAAGCGAAAGCTGGTGCAGCGTTCTTACGATGGTATGACCAAACATTAGGCTTTACTTTACTACTCTTCTGTGAACTTATCACACTAGATAGTTTTTCCTTCAAACTACGAGCCTTGGAACAAACCACAGTACGTTCATGNAAACGTCAGCTGTCTCTAGCATTACCGCTTTCCCAGGGGACATGAAACAGTGGCCAATGAACATGTTCCATATTCATTACACGGGCCGTTTCACAGTGGAATGCAAGCGAAAGCTGGTGCAGCGTTCTTACGATGGTATGACCAAACATTAGGCTTTACTTTACTACTCTTCTGTGAACTTATCACACTAGATAGTTTTTCCTTCAAACTACGAGCCTTGGAACAAACCACAGTACGTTCATGGTCAGATTCGACCGACCATTCCAACTTAACTTATCAAACGCCGGCTTGTCACTCCACCTAAATGCACTTTGCAGTCCGTTGTAACGCCACTGAATACAAGACCAGTGAAAGCACAATGCAGTCACTTGCGTTACCAAACGTGGAAACCATATAATCCCAATCTGTGTGTATGAGTCCGAATCGTTACCGGAAGAGACCAACGGGGATTAGTGCGCCAGCTTTACAGCTGCTACAGACAGTGGATCAGTGAGCAGGTGCCTGAGATCGTAGAAAGGCCACGTCCAAGGTGATAGGCGTTTATTTGGAGGTAACTAAGCTCCATCGATTCGACCAAGCAGCAGAGCCAGTCAATGTATCCTGGTTCTGCTTGGAGGGTGAATGAATATGACAAAGCGGATGAACATAGCTTCCTCATTTCACGTTTTTCAAGTGTCTTGGCAGGACACGACTGCAGAACTGTTCAGCAAGGTGGCAGGAAGCGAATTTACATGGTAACATGGGCCGGAGCCATCGACCAACAGATTGAAGTTCAGAGTCCTGCTGTCTTGCGGCACTAGGATGAAAAAGGCCTCTAGTGTAGTGGTAAATTAAATTAAACAAACCGGTATACGTCGAAATCCCCGAGGGAAAGTGCAGACTGCACTCACTGCACACCTATGTGTATTGTTTTGACGAACAGTGTAGGTAGTGAGGTACGCTTCATAGCTAAAACTCAGTTAATAAGAGATATACAATAAGACTAGAAGTTAGTATAACTGGCAGGCTCACAGATTCCCACCGGTGTAGCGCAGAATATTTGGGAAAATGTAGCTACAAGCAATCCCACCACCACATATGGAACGACTCGCAGACTAGTACTTAGAATTAGAAATTGGCTGTGGTTTGGGAGACTAGATTACACTTGAACACGGTGTGCAACCCAGGGTAGCCAACGTTTTCAATGGAATATTTCGTGAACGCTCTAATTTCCAATACCTTGCACTTCTTTAATTGTGTCACTCATATTGCTACTCGCTCAGTTTGAGACTTTCTTCATTCACCATGTCCTACGAAATTTTGGGTTTCTAAAAACGNGTTTGAGACTTTCTTCATTCACCATGTCCCACGAGAATTTGAGGTGTCTAAAACGTGTTTAGTTCGGGGGTTTGCAACCTAAAACGCTAGTCTACCCTAGACCATTTAGCGGCGGATCGCGTCTATTCATATCGAGAGAGAGAATTTGCCCCTTTTGAGTCCTTCCGAACCGGAAAATTATATTTTCAGCACAATCGATACCCTAAAAATGGATACTTACAGAAATGCTAGTCTGTTGTAGTGTTTTTTCTGACCTTTGGTGTTATCATAAGTATCTCAGAACACCAAGTATGAATCTTGGACTAGGAATCCGAGCACCTGTAAATGACGGTCAACAAACCACCAAAATAGCCAGGTAAGCCCTTCAAGTAGGGCACTCTTCCTATGCGGATCAGAGCTGCGTCCAATGATGTTATCAGAAGAAATTGGCGTTAGAGTATACAGGGAAAAGCAGAAGTAATCCGATGTACAAGTCAATTTAATAAAGTTTACTCTCCTGGTGCATTGACTCCTACCAAGTTGATGGTCGAAATCTGGTGTACAAGTGTTCTGATTATCTGAAATTGGTTGTTTTCCTATCCAGTAATCTGTACCTCCCAAGGGAATTTATTCAGTCATGAACACGGTTTTGTTGGACTGAGCACCAGAATATTGATATCTAGTGAAACAGCCAGGTTTCCTTATAGAACTTGAAGTACAATTAAGTGTGGTGCCCCCAGGCATACCGAAAAGGCACAGTGTGGGTCTTTATGGTAATCTTTTGATTGCCAGGGTTCATACACCGGAAAGAGTTCACTAGAAAGTATGCCATTCTAGTTCATCAGGTAACCTTCCTCCCAGTCAGAGTCATCGTGAAACATTCGTCTTGGATTGCTGTGTCATACACGCAGCTTCATAAGGTGAATGCCCATCTGGCTAGTGTGCAGTGATCCAGGTTGATGTCAATAAGAAGCTCTTGACATGTTGCTGACATGTCCGCGAACTTCGATGAAGTGGATTGATGAGGCCGCCAACTACAGCGACCAGCGGTCCGACCTTCGGTGAGTCAGCCGTCAGGAGACCTCACAAGCACTCGCATTGGAAATTTTGGGTTGCAAGCTATAAGACGTGTCTTGAAGTCAAAGGCTGCACCCGGAATGCAGGGTTCATGTATTTTAGAAACATGAGCACTTTTTTTACCACACAACCACTATATGCAACAGTATAGTTCAGGTTCTTATACCATCTCTGTGAAAACGCACAAGTGCTACTTCCAAGGTGTAGTTAAACAGGCTAACGAACAGAACGTCTTCAGAGCCTAAAAGGCAAAGCGTACATCTCGCACAGTGCGACAGGACTGGATACTCAGTGGGTTATCTTCAGATCAAAGCGACGCACCTCAGTGTAACATCCGATCAACCTAAGTAAACATCCAATGGACACAAACCGCCCCTTTACGAAGATACCAGTAACCGGTCACACCTCAGCGTTCGATAGTTTTTCAACGCGTTATGATTCACCAAACTCCACGAATGCTACCACATAGCCGTCATGCTGTTGCCAGTGATGGGTACAAAAAACCAATCACCTGGAGTCCAAAACTATAAGATCTCAATGCTGAGTCAATAACTGCGCCCAAAAAATAAAAGAAATCCCATGCATTTCGTTGAAAGAAGGCTTTTGATGTGTGAAGGTCCTAATAAAAACCCACTTTGCCGAGAACTTATTTATTGCGGAAAATTAGCTACCTTACGCTAGGCTACCTTCAGAGCTGGTACCAAATGTATCACGTGATGGGGCCATTGACAACAACAGTCGCCTTCAACATACTTTCAATTGCTCACATGATTTATGCTGCAATTGCGGCGCTTCAGAGCAAAGGAATTCATCCTCATAAATAACATCTTGCAACTACCTGCAAGCAAGGTGTCCCCCTGTGAAATTTACATAGACCCCTTCCCATTTTTTTCAGACCACCAAGACGAGTCAACAAATCCGGGCTATCTCAAGCGCAGCCCGCAGAAAGGAATCCCACGTCTCAACCCAAAGCTCCTCGGGAACAGTGAGTATGGATGATAAATGAAACACGAGCATTTACTTCAGGAGATACAAACTGGTTGATTATTCCAGTAATAGGAGTCGAGCCAACGCTATTACATCAAAATTCGCCAACTTACTATCGCTTTAAATAAATACAACTAAATAGCAGTGGGTAACGAACTGGAGTTTGACTTCAATTACCGGCTGGATAATGACCATAAGCCTTAACAATAAACACTAGTCAGGGTTAGTACGGTAGTGCCACAACAGAATCGTCGTGTTGCGACTCGAAGAGGACTGTTCATACCAGGATGATACGGATACAAGGTTAGGTCAAGCAACAAGCAACTAGAAAAGTACGGTGTTTTTTTTCCACGTTCAGCACAATACCACTTCAGATGCCAGATGTCGACCGTTATGTTTGGTAGTGTTGATTTTATGGAGACCTGTCGGACACTGTCCGATGACGCGGGTTACATCGTCCGCTGATCAATCCATCAAATGGAGAACGATCCCCAGCATTTGGGGTGCGGTCAAATTTCAATGGCTACCTGGGATGCCCTGTATGTGGAGAGGGTGAACAGAATGACGTTGACCAGATCAAAAACTGCACAGATTGAAATCTTAGCATTCAATACCGGCGTTGTAGATAGCACGAATGCAATATGTAGCTGCCAGTGAGAAGCATTGGATGGGATTGCCTCGAAGGCTTTCATATCTACTATGAACGGTTGTTTTTTCACCTTACAGTGGTCACTGAGGACACTAATCCAAGGCATTAAGCGGAACCCAAAATTTCCATCGCTATACCGTAACAGTGTAATTTAGTTCATCCCAGCCAACAACGGACTAGTCACTATTTAAGTTACCCTTCGTTGTGGCCGGCCGCTGGCTTGGTTACAGGTTCATCGCTGCTATAGTCTAGGTAAAACTCATCAGGAGGAAATAAAGAGCGTCCCAAGTGTATTCACCGATGCAATTGAAATTACATGGTTGGCAGAGACATCACAGCTTTCGTACAATCCAAGCCCATGGTCATGAAGTGAAAGCATACAAGTGATCGCAGTCTTCGCTACAGTAAAAGCAGTTGCTTTTCTATACGGCTTTTCCAGCTCCAACGGTCAATTAAGTGTTCTTATGTTGATCCGCTTCCAGAGAGCTCAGATATCTGTTGATACATTCATTTATTCATTGTCCTCGTGATACTAGGAACAAACGAAGAAGGAGCCGTTGAAGAAGCAGCAGTGTGAGAGCAAAGTCCTGAGAAACGAACGCTGTAGATACGAGCAACGATACAGTGGTGGAACCGAGGAGATTACGGTAAGTTGTTGTTATCGCTCAGCCTTAACTGTCAACATGTTTAGAATCTGAGACCCGATGCCCTGTGAACACGAAAGAGCAACAAGTTACTACTGCTACTGTACTATTGTTTATTTGGTGATTTTTTGCTAAATACAATTGAGTCCGAAATTCTGGCGCTTTGTCGTGTTGCAGATTATTTAGGATGAATCAGTAAAATCCCTAAAAGGAAGCGTCCATTAAGACAGACGAACGAGTTCCGGATTTTCTGATCCAGTCGGTGATAAAGAGCACTATAAACATCGGGCACTCTTGACAACACTAAGAGCAATACAACTCGCAGTGCTCAGGAAAACAACACGCACCTCAACCGCACTGTTACCAAACTACGTGGGCTATGCGCATTATCTAAACCGCTGTTCCGAAAGGAAGCCAAGGAACAAAATTGAAATAAATATTATGCAAAACTCCAGCGCTTCTCAGGAAAAGTGTAGACTTATGGAGTATACAGCGAGAAAAAGCTGTTTAAGTGAAACCATAAGTACTATTAATTGAATTAAACACCCTCCAAGAGAACAGTCTCCACATACATGTTTAGTGCATTTATTCCAAAATTCTAATTGATGGTCACAAACAGCCAGCATCACCCAGAAGCTCAAACTCTAGTTTCCCGTACTGTTCAACTCGGAAGCCTTGAAAATGCGATTTTATGAGACGCCAGTTTTTGTGAGTTTGCGTATGAATCAGTGGCGAGGTGACCAGTTAGGTTTTATGCCAGTGAGTCATAAACTCACGAGTCCTATACGCTCCTTCCAGCCTACAGACTAGAATCTTTCCATCTTCAAAGATGTCAGACACAAAAAGTTTATCTCAACAGTCGCTCAGTTTTGTTGTTGAAAACTGAGTAGTATGAACGTCGGGTGCATCAAAATGGGCCAAAGGAAGTCACAATAAATATTGAAAGGGTGTAAGTTTGCAGACCCGAAGCCCTCACTCCGAATGAGAACAGTGATTACGAACCCAAAAATCTTCAAAAACGGGTCTACTTTGAAAATGACAGGATGGTGCCAAGAAACGATCGAGTGGCAGGCTACTAAGAGATATGCGTCTGCACCACTTTTAGGGCTGATTAGCTCCAGTTCGGGTACAAATGCTGATTACTTGCACTTCAGCTGCAATGAGATAACCCAAACAATCCCGAGATAATTAGGTTTTTCCGAAAACCGAACAACCTTCGTAGGAATTGCAGAAAATAATTAAGAATGATCACGAGTGGGAGAAGCCCAGTACCATAGCTTTGAGAAAATGACGCATGCAAATTTGGAGCTGCAGACGGCGCGACTAATATGTATGCATTATTGAGTGCTCAAACAAACGCAGTAGGGACACATGGTATTTTCAGTGTTCACAGCAGTGGCGGACACGAGATTAGTTCCGCAGAATGCGAGGGCAACTAAAAGCGTGGGAATACAATGACAAGTACGAACATATGGACATAATGATCAACTACCAGACGCCAGTTGGAACGCACACAATATCGGCCCGTTAACTATTTACAAAAGTTAGCCTTGCACTAGATCGACTGCATCTGACTCTCTTGTGGCCTGGCGTATCGTGAAATATAAAGTAACAGCCAGGTTCTTTCGTGCTCTCTCGAACAAGACGTCAAAGCGTCTGTGTAACTCATGGTGTGGTTCGTTCTTATGCTAACAGGAAATTAAAGAGACGGATCTTATTCGCATAACAGCTGGTGTCAAGCCCATGAGCACATTGGATGGTGCAGCTAATCTCTGAATATACCCAGTGAGCAGTGATGTAATACTCAGTTTACTGTAGCAATAGGACAAAATATGCCACTTATAAAAGCAGAGACCAGACTGTCGAGAAGGTGAGTAAACCGGTTTAACTGGTGGCTTCTTACCTAAACCATTCTATCACGAAGAGACTTGAACTTGCCGTGGTGTGGCGGTTTGTATACCTCGGAGACCCATTGAGCTATACTGGGGGATGTCCGTGAGACACTCACAGAGTCTCTCATACCAGGTTGGTCCATGTGTAGAGGTCTGACGAACAGTATCCTGGCCCTCTAGGTTGGGGGTTGGAACATGCATGGCAACGTATTCCGTAAAAATGGTTATGTACAGGCATTCCCAGCCCATCACCGCCGCCTTGCCGTTAGGCTTTTGAGCCAGACTTTGGTTGAGGAGTCTAACTGTCCTCCTGGCTAGGTGTGGTCGTCCTGGCAGTATCCAGCCCTCGTACAACCATGACATCCGCAACTACCAAAACTTTCATGTCACATGGGCCGTCGCGTGGTGCCATCAGCCGGATCGCTTATTTGCTGCATACAGCAGGGCCGGTAAGCGAAAACATAATACTGCTAACGCCTCCCTTCGTACACTTTCACGTTTTCCGTCTTCCACCCTCGCCCACCCAAATTTGAATACTTTGTCCGCAGGTGCCATGCTCCAGCACTGACCGTTTTGCTCACTCTGAATTACACTCTGCTGCAGCTTCTGCACGTCCGAGTTCAGTTACAACCCTAAACATTCCGAAGTCTGTTTTCAAACCGCGAAAGCCTGTCTACTTAGCCACTTTCAATATTCGCACACTGAAGCAAGGTCAACCAGTGGCTCTTGCGCGTACGCTGGATTCCCTCTGTATTGATGTATGTTGTCTGTCAGAAACAAGGACGTAGGACGCAAGTACTGTAATCGAACTGACTGCCACCTCGCTCTCTTCCAGGTTTCGGGTCGCGCAAGTCTGGTGATGTATAGGCCGCTGCAGCTAGATATGCTGGGGTGGGTGTTGTATTGAGAGAACGAGCGGAAGCGTCTCTGCTTGATTGGATACTCGTTGAGTGTCGCCTCTGTGCGGTTCGTTTGGCAAGATCTGTGAGAGAATCTAGAGAAAGTGAGGCTCATCGCATTTCATTTAATGTCTGCTTACGACCCAACTGACCGTAGGTCTGAATCTGTCAAGGACAGTTTCTGTGATGCTATAGGTGCTAAAAGCCCGGATATCGTTGTACTTGCTGGTGATATAAACGCCCAGGCGGGCATACTAAGCGCAGCTGAGGCCCCATTGGGTGGTCGTCCTGGTTTGGACACGATAAGCACATACAACGGAGACCGCTTACTTCAGATGTGTGCCGATCACAGGCTGTTCCTTTGCAGTCTGAACTTCCGGAACAGCGGATATCGCTTGACAACGTGGTGCCCACCAACAAACCAGCGCCGAATCCAAATAGGCCACATCGCCGTCAGAACTTTTCAGAACCAGCTCCTCGAACGTCTGTTGGGTGGTACGATGTCGGATATATACGGTTACTATGAAAAGATACCCAAAGTGCTACTCAAAACCGAAACATCTGTTTGAAGTCAAACCCAACCAACCTCATTCAAGCATTGGATCTTTGCTGGAGACCTGGCGACAGATTCCACCTGGCTGCCAGAACTCCACCCGGCGCATCCTCCGACGTCAGGTGAAATTGAGTGTCCGCGCAGACCGAGAAGCTTGGTGGACCCGAAAGGTCGAAGAAATGGAAGATGCAAAGAATGCTGGAAACGTGCGCAAGCTTTTCCACTTGATTCGTTCAACTGGTCCTCGGAAACCTCTTGGCACCGAAATAACCAGGGACAAAAATGGCTGCCTGATATGCAACAAAGCAGAACGTTTGGACCGCTGGGCACAGTACTTTGAGCAGCAATTCAGCTGGCCATTTGCTACCTCCAACCTAGAAACCTGGCCTTCAACAGGAAGGTGGACCGTAAATATGGAGCCACCTTCAGTCTCAGAAGTGTCCGAATGTATTTCTCTACTCAAGCGTCATCGTGCTGCTGGTCCTAACGGCCTTCCACCTGCTCTTTTCAAGGATGGCGGTGGATTCCTCAGCCAGTGCCCATCTAGCTTAGTTGTGTCTATTTGGGAGAAGGAGGCCGTCTCAGACAACTGAAGTGAATCGATAGTGGTGCCCATTTTCAAAAAGGGTACTCGCAGTGAATGTGGTAACCACAGAGGTGTTCGTTTGACGCCTGTTGTGACAAGGCTTCTGGCGTCACTGAGTCTTCGTCGTCTTACGGTGGCACGTGAAACCTTGACTCGTGAGAATCAGGCGGGATTTCGATCGGGTAGAGGCTGCGTTGACCACATCTTCACACCTCGTCAAGTGTTAGAGCAACGCCACATGTACAGACGACCCACAATCTTGGTATTCCTCGACTTCAAGGGTGCGTTCGATTTTGTTGATTGATCAGCACTTTTAATACACTTGCTCAACAGGGCATGCCCCAGGAGCATACTTCTGGGCGAGTGAGGGTGTATGGTGAGCTCTCCAAAAGCCTTCCTACAAAAAGTGGTGTCAGACAAGGATGTTCACTCTCCCCATTCTTGTTCAACTTCGTCATCGATGAAATAATGAGGCGAACACTGGACTGTTTTCAAAAACCCGGTGTTCAAATTGTTGCTGGAGAGAGCCTTGTCGATCTGGAGTACGCAGATGACATCGTCCTCATCTTTGAAGACCATAGCGAAGCACAAGCTCTGTTGAATAAACTGACCGCCATCATACCATCTTTTGGCATGCACCTTGCACCTTCAAAGTGCAGTCATGCTTCCGAACGTGTTATCTGCGAACGTAACCCATACAATTCAAGGAAAATCACTGAAGATTGTGGAAAACTTTAGATACTTCTGTAGTTGTGTTAGGTCTGACAGAATTGTCTGATGGCGTCAGTGCAAGAATCGAATCACGTTTGCTAATTTGCGGCACTTGTGGCGTCAAAAAGGCATCTCACTCAATCTTAGGGGTTGTGTGTACCAGGCTACAGCAAGGGCTGTGTTGTTGTATGGGTGGGAGACATGGCTTCTGCGGGTAGATGATGTGAGGCGTCTTC